GGCAGCAGCTCCACTGGCTGCTCTGACTGGCAGCACGTACGTCCAGGTGTGTTTTCAGGTGGCAGCAGACGAACAGAGCAAACAGGGATTCTCTTACCGCTGTGATGTTGAATCCTCCTGATGGGGGAGCAGCCCTCCGACTAACTAGCTAACCAGCTAACCAGCTAACCAACCAGCAGCAGTGTGTTCCGTCTCGATCTTCCTCAAATGAAACTCTTGAGAGACGAACTCGGGGCAAGAAGCAACAAGTGGAAGCAGCGAAAGTGAAGCGGAGCAGCAGCAGGAACAGACACGTCCTGGTTACCTGAAGGAGGCGTTCAGGTGAGAGGAGACACCTGAGGGGAGACGGGGGGGACGGGGGGAGCCGGGTGAGTCAGACCAGCCTCCGTCAGAAGCACCGGCAGCAGCTGCTCATGAATCATTCATTCTGAAACATGCAGCAGCGACGCCGAAGGAGGAACAGCGAGCGGAGCGACCGGGGACGTCGTCCTCCTCCACATCAGCAGCACTGTGAGAGCCGACGGCGCCCCCTGCAGGCGCAGCAGCTAGCCGCTCGCTAGCTGCCCAGTCCTAGCTTAGCATTCCCACGGAGACGTTCTCTGTTCTGTATTTCAGCAGCATTAAACAGACGGAGCCGGGTTTGGGTTTCTCCTCCTTTAAAGCATCTCCAGATGTGTTTATTAGAATTCATCAAAACGTTCTTTAATAAATCCATCCATCATCTCTACACCTTTATCCTCACCAGGGTCATGGGGGGCGGAGCCTATCCCAGCTGACTCAGGGTGAAGGCAGGTTCACCTGGACAGGTAACCAGTCTATCACAGGGCTACACTTAGAGACAGACAACCAAGCACACTCACATTCACACCTACGGACAATTTACAATCACCAATTAACCTCAGCATGTTTCTGGACTGTGGGAGGAAGCCGGAGAACCCGGAGAGAACCCACGCTGCACGGGGAGAACATGGAGACTCCACGCAGGAAGATCCCGGGTGTCCTCACCGGGACGCCAACCAGCGACCTTCTAGCTGCTAACGATGCTAACGGTGCTAACCACTGATCCACTGTGCATTAATAAAAACAAACAACTTGATCTGATTGATGGTGAAGCTGCTCATGTGGAGGAAACACCTGAGCTCCACCTGGAGGTCCTGAACCTCCTCAGAGTCTCTGTCATGGTCCCGTTGCTGCTAAACTCCCACAATGCTCTCTGCTGCCACCATGACTGTAGTCTGTAGACGCCTCCTCTGGTCTCTACAGGATCAAACAGGGAGAGGCTCCACCTGGTGGAACAACCAGGTACTGCAGCTGGTCTACGGTAAGTCCCTGTTGTTCATGGTTTGGATTCAACACGTCATAAACAGTAAACATCTCACTGCGTTTGTCCAGCTGGACGTGATCGGACTGTTAAAGGATTTTAATTATCGTTAACAGTTTATACAAACGTGAGCTTTTTCACGTCCTTTGTTCTTTTCACAGAAACTAATTAAAGCTGGAAGCGGTGAGTCCAGATGAATAATCATAAAATAATAATAAATCTGCCATAATTTCACTAAAGAACAGTTCATTTATTAAAACACTCGTTAACATCCTCCAGACGCTACACAGCTCGCCTCGTTACCGTCTCATCGTCGTGCATGTGAGAGCTGGAAAACACCGACGAACAACTTTTACTGTAAAAGTTGCTGCTAACGTAATGACCTCCGTAAACGCCTCATCCATCCTCATCCATCCTCATCCATCCTCATCCATTCTCATCCATCCTCATCCATCCTCATCCATCCTCATCCATCCTCATCCATCCCTGGTCAGACTCACCAGCCTCCACCAGCTCCTCGTCCGTCTGTCCTCTCTGGTTTTCTGCTGTTCGTCTTTACTTTACCTTCTTCCTTCCTCCCTGCTGCCTCCCACTCGCTCATTACCAAACACACTCGTTCACGCTCTCGGTGCCCTCGTCCAAGGCTGACGTTCCCCTTCAGACTTCAGCTCCTGAACACAACCCTGCTGGGATCCGTCAGCATCCTGCTCCGAGCCCGGCAGGAACCGGGCGGCTCAGCGGGAGCATCGGCGCTTATCGCCGCAGACTGATTAAACGTGGCTCTAAGAGGCTGCCGGTCGGCTGCATGCAGCGCTTAGACTGAAACCAGAACACAGAAATCAAGCTCATGAGGCTGGAGAGATCAGTGTATTGATCAGCCTCCAGTCCAATCGATCGGCTGTTTGGTTCTGAAATGGTGAAAAACGTGGATCAGAGTTTCCTCAAAGGTCCGGTTCAGTCCAAAGATGTTCAGTTTAGTATCACAGAGGAGAGAAAGCAGAAGACAGAAGAGTTCAGACGTTTTCATGAAACTGATTATTGATGATCAGCTGATACCTGGAGCATCTTTGTTTGTTGTTTGTCTTATGTTGTGTTGTTGTTTTGCGTCTCTGAGGTTGTAAATAATTGTTTATTTGTGGATAAATCTGTTTATATTTTCCAGACACATCAATCAGCTGTTTGGTCTCTGAAGCGAGGACCAGAGTTCCTCACATGGTTTCAAGCTGCAGTCCCACAATTTAGTGTTTTTATTTAAAATGAGTCGAACTCACTGATCACGACGTTTAATAGTTAGCAGCTCGTTGACTGATTCATTAATCGTTGTTGCTCTAATTGCATTTAAACACTGAAACACGACAGGTGGTGAGAACAAGATGGCGGATCAGGAAAGTTTAATTAATGTCAGACATCAAATTAAATATCTGGAGTCACTGTTCAGCTCAATGCAGCGAAGCTCACGCTGAAGACCGCCACAAAGAGCCTGGTTTGATGCTAGCTACAAGCAGCTGGCTAATGTAACTAGCTAACACAGCTAACACAGCTACCTGATGCAGTTCGCTACAAGCAGCTAATGAACTAGCTACAAGCAGCTAACTAATGCCACTAGCTAACGCAGCTACCTACAAGCAGCTAACTAATATAACTAGCTAACACAGCTACCTACAAGCAGCTAACTAATATAACTAGCTAACACAGCTACCTACAAGCAGCTAACTAATGTAACTAGCTATCGCAGCTAACTAGCTAACGCACCTAGCATGTTCCTGAAGTTTACGTCCATATTCAGAGATGGACACGATGTTTTGCAAAGATCAACTCAACGAATTTGAAAGAACGTCTAAAATTGTCTTTAAAAAAAACTACAAGAAACTAAAAATAGTTCAATAGTTGAAAGCTAAAAGTAAAAAATATCTTCAGATATAAAGTAAATAAAACATAAACAGTTAGCCTTTTAGCTAAAACGGTAATAATCTGTAGTTAGCTAACTGTAATGCTAAAAGTGATAAATGGTTGAAATAGAGCCGTTAATGTAAACAGCGGTTTGTTAAAAGTAATAAACAGTTGATAAATGAACAGTTGAAGTATTTGCCTACAACTAAAACTGTTCCGTCCCACCAGCAGACTGCTGAAGCTTGTAGAGAATCCAGATGTTTGGATCGTTGGGTGTTTCTGCCTTTGTGAAGCGCTATGAGATGACTTGTTGTTGTAAATATGCGCTATACAAATAAAACTGAATTGGATTGAATTGACGACCTTCCAGCTCCTGAACCTTCAGACGTTTCCACAGATCTCCTTCTCAGTCTCTGTTCTGTGGACTTTGCTGGTTGTGGTTCAGCTGTTGGCGACGTTCATGCAAATCCACAGCAGAGGTCAAACTTCTACATGCAAATGAGACGAAGGTCAAACTGGTGGTTGATTTATGAAAACGTCCAGCAGGTCTGCATGTTTGGTGCTCGCAGCAGCTTCACTGCAAACTCCTAATTTATTGGTGCTCAGTTCCCCTCCAGAGGACGACGGCGTCCGGCTAATATCCTCATCATCATATCAGAGACACACAACAGGAATCTGAGCTGAAC